TATAACTGTGAAATTGAGTACTATAGATGTTATGGCTTCACTATTTTTGCCCGGTTGGGCGTGAGACCACAGGATGCGGAGGAGGAAATTGTTCCTCTTCAAGTTGGACATTAAGTCTTCATCCATGTTCGACGAGGTTCGTTATGGCAAGCTGATCATCTTTACAGAGAGCCTTGCGGCCTTCCTCTAGGCTGCGGAAGCTCTGACAATTTTCTGGTTGCTGAATAACGCAATTTTTTGATGAGAGCAATTCGTACAAATGTCATGTGGTTTGGACTCCGAGTCACAGAGGCAGATTTTCTGGCAAAACAAGCGTTGGATGTAGGAGCACCAATTGTGACGTATCTGACCCCTAAGTAAACGAAAAAAAAAAGAAAGAATGGAGAGTAAAAGACATGTATAAGGATGAATTTCAAACAATATTCATGTCTAAAGGCAGATCCTTTTTACAATTCTGCAGTGATGTCCATGGTAGCTTTATTATTGTTGTTGTTATTATTATATTATTATTATTATTATTATTATTTTTTCTCGGTTAAGCTTATCAGGAATATTTGGCTATGCGGTTTTTTCCATCATTTTTAATATTCCGTATTTCCTTTATACATTCCGTGAATATATTTGTTTGAGCATGTAACGTTATCAATCGGATTTCGGATTAATTATACCATATTTATCCTCCATTTACTGGCGGAACATGATCATGACATCATATCAGCGTTTTTAGATCATAACTGGGCACAGCCAAACCCGAACTATACCATTAGATTCACATCAAATTTTCACGATTTCAAATCATTTACAATGTTGTTGAATGACCTTATACATATGTGTAAACAAATATTTTATATTTTTGGAGCAAAATCATCTATTGCTTGTCGCAGCATTCTTATGGATTGAGCAATAGTTTTGTGACACAATTACCCGAAATTTTAACGAAACTTATGCGATAAATATATATGAATATACATACGGACATCCAAATTTGTTTGATAATTTCAAAATTAATATTGATACATTTTTCGTATTTTTTACATATTTTTACAATGACATATACATATATCATACATTTGCCAGCTGCGTAATTTAACATCGAACACCAGTTACTTTCATCAATTCCTATGTTCACTAGTAACGCTTTTTTGAATTATCGCGTTACTATTCTCAAATATCGCTTTCTTCCAGCGATATAAATGGACCAAAATTTATACGTATATTTCATAACGAAATAAATTGAAAAATGTTTGAGGTTTCAACAAACAACCAAGCCTGCACAATTTTGAAGTTTTTACCGTCGATGACGAATTTCAAAATTATTGTCGGATTCATTGTTTATCGAAGCCTCAAACATTTTTCAATTTCTTTCGTTATGAAATAGATCTATAACTTTTGGTCCGTTGATTTCGGTGGAGTAAGCGATATTTAAGAGTACAATAGCGTTGCTAGTGGACATATCAGATGATAAATGTAGCTGAAGTTTGATGTATAATTACGCTGCTTACAAATGTAAATATGCCATTATAAAAAGAAAAAACAATTAGGAAAAAAGAGACGAATTTTATTATTTTTTTTTAATTTAAAAAAAATAGATGTCCCAGTGAAAAAAGAAACAAATATATATTAAACACATCGATTCCATCATGGTATAATTATTACAAGGTAGGGCACAGCTACCAACTGATTACAATTTTTTCTCAAGGTGGCTTGTTCCATCAAATCAAAATAAATATTGGTGAATGTGTGTGTATTGTTTTGAATGCAATGTCAAATAAATTGAAATATATTCAAGTTTAATTGAAATGAAAATAAGGTTTTTAACACGTTCGTCTGGAAGTAATAACTTTGTTATTGATGAAACAAACATTTTATTGTATTCCCTACTGGTATTAGGGAAGAAATCATAACCTTTCATTCAATTTTCGCGTTTTTAGTTTTGTGTTGAAAAAAATGTCAAACACTTGTTGCGTATATTTATTTTATTTTTGGCAGAAGAGGTCACAATTTTTTCAATTTCTATTCCCCTTCCCCTCTCTCCATCAAACAAAGACTTGCCTCAATTAAACTCGTCTAATATAAATTGGGACATACCTATAAGAATGCTACAAAAATCCATGGATAACTATCACGTCAAAATGTGAAATATTTGTTTCTGCATCAATCTTGTTTTATTTATTTATTTTTTTGCAGCTCGCGGATACCGTTAGATAATTCTGTTAATGTTGGAAAAAACAACACAATTCCAAGCATTATATTTTTTACCGATTTCTTATTGTGCTATTGTCCGGATTTGGATGTGTCCGGTTTCTCTTAACCAACGCTAATAAGATATGTTCAAGTTCCGGCAGTAAATCTTATATGTTCACGTATACCACGACATCTAGCATGGTACAATTATAAAAAGGTGACAGCAAGTCCCAGCTGGTTTGATTCCAACGTAATACTAGTGTCAATATGAATTTGACAAATTATGTTTTTAAAAATCACCCAACAGGAAAATTGGGAACGCATACAATTCGAAATTGTTCTTTATTAAATGTACTCCCGTATTCATTTTACTCAATCTGCCTGTTGGGAAAGTTTGAGGAAGCAAATCTTTCTTCATTGAATAACTAGCAATTCCCTTCACTTTCATATGTGTTACACATATAAGTGGCCATAGTTCAATCATAGGAAAGATGTGGAAGCGATAGAAATATAAATTTGATAGATTTTCATTCATGTTTTTCAAATTTTATTTTAGGATTCGAAAATATTTTATTTTCAAAATAAATATAATTTATTTGTTTGTTTACATTTTTCTGTCAAATGACGTTGACACTAGTATAACTTACAAAAACAAATTTCCATGTGGTTGTTGTATCGTTTGTTGTACAACAACACTTGCTGTTACCTTCTATTATTATACCATGGACATCTAGGTAGGATAAATATGGTATAACTATTACGAAACCTATATAGGGTGAAGATCACAATGAAAAACTTTTATTAGCATATGACTGTGAGAAATTTTTGGAGAAATTCCTGAGTAAACAATATTTTCTCAATTTCAGACAATATATCAGCCCGTTAAGTTTGCAAAGCTTATACTAATGGCCACACAATAGCCCCATCCAACTGTGGAACAATCATATATCTCCCCTTCCCAGAACTTGAATACGAAGAAGTGGAATAAAAATCATTTTTAATCTGGTGTTTATCAAAATTCGATGGCAGAATGTCAAGTTCTTCAATCAGAGCCATTAACAGTAGGAAGATATTTGAATCAGAAGGAAGGAAGGATGAATCACAACAGTATGTCTCATGCCGACTGGGTCGGTTTTTGATGCAATTTAAAAAAATGGCTTAGCTGAAATAGCATTGTCATGGCATTTATTTAAACCATGTGAACTAAGTGTTACCTTGCAAAATTTTCATTCTCTGAATGATATATATGAGTTAAATAACACCTGAGGTGAATAACAAAAAAGCAACTATGTAGGTTTGTGACTTCTTCTATAAAATATAAAGAAAACATACACAACAAATGGTTGCGTTTATATAATATTTTTCAACACATAAGGGCATAAGCGGAATGGATCCGTCGTGTTATTTGTTACACTGAAACATCTGAAAGCTTATAGTACGTTTAGTTAAGGTTTTTGTTTAAACACGATTTTAACCCCTTGAGCCCCGAATTTTTTTCCGTGATTATAGAACTATTTTCTGTGCACAGATTTAATGTATCTATCCCAAATAGGATATGCACAAAATTTGACATCGCTATATCCTTGCATTCGGGAGATACAGTACCTTCTTTCTGAAAAATAAACGTCCAATATCAAGAAAACCAAATACAATATGGTCGAATAAATAACTTTTAATTTTTCTTTAGGGTTTTTTATAAGGCCCAATAACAATTTGGAGGGTACACTTCGAATACGAAGCGATTTAAATAATTTGTACTGTATACGCTAATTGGTACTGTGCACATTTTTGCACTCATCTATATATAAAAAAGCTTCTAACTTGGCCAACAATTTGAGTTTTTTATATTTTTCTTTTGATATGTGTCGTCCATAATCAGCTCTTAAAATATGTAATCCAAATAATATATATCTACTAGCTGCGTATTAAATATAAGCTTTAAAACACTTTGTTGTCTGTGGGCAACATTGGACCACAAAGGGTTAATTATGTTGACTTGAGGTGAATAATACGTACTGCTCGTCTGCTACTGGAAATATTGATTTTCACTCTTCAGAAATGTTTTACCCCTTAATAGGATCTTATATGGCGTATACCATTCCGTTTGCAACACCTTGAAATATACAACGGAGATCCCAAAAATCATAAATTATTATATGTCGAGATCGCATTAATTAAGATAATGCTTTCAAAAAATTCCACATATAGTGTTGCTATTCCTAGGATGTTTAGTAATCAGTCCACGTTTACGTATAGCCTCCATATTTGATACTTTGAGTTCCCATTGAGTAGCAAATTTCTCTACCAATAATTTATCGATAAAGATTCTAGTTTTTCGGTTTTTTGGAGAGCTTGGACACGTTTTGTCACCGAATTAGCAGTAATTTGGTACTTTGAGCTCCCATTGGGTACCAAATCTCCCTACTAAAAATATCGAATCATTATTGGTGTTTTAAGTGTCCACCCATTGTGAAGAATATAAAAAGTACGACCCGGCAAAAAAACTAATATTTTTAGAAAACGAATTGCCTCGTATAGACACATGAAGCAAGTTCAAAAGAGAACGATAAGAATGCCGCAAGTAAAATTTCCTAATCTAAATCAGGACTAAACCTAGTAAAATATCGAAAATTTCCACGTCTCCCAAATGTGTAAATGGGTTCTAAGAAAACGAGAATCAAAACGGAACAACGAGAAGAATTATCGTCAAAGCAGAGCTAAGAAGTCGATTAGCAGTGAAATTCTTACTTCATTTATAGATTAAATCTCAAGCGGTAACTAGCGAATTTTTTGCGAGTGCTTTCTACAAAAAAGGAAAAATCACATAAAAAATGCCTGCTAAAGCTGTTTGTGTTATTAATGGCGATGCCAAGGGTACCGTATTCTTTGAACAAGCTGTAAGTACAATATATAGATGCAGATTTTACTTAACAGGATTTGCCCTACACCGATTCTATATAATTCTATAAAAGTCTTAATTTATGGGTTTGAAGGTCAAGAAACAACGCCATACACAGACACACACTCGTGCAAGTTGTAGGTTTTCGAAGTAAATATAATAATGCCGGCAAAAGGTGAGGGAATGATGGGAATGTCTGGTAGAATAAGTGCGCTTATTAGAAAGATATTAAGACGGACTACAGCCCAGAAAAACCAGAAGTCTAATACAAAGTACAATTGCTGGTGTATATTTGTACATATATGAATGTAATTAATATTTAAATATGGCTGTGTATACCTTTACACCTTTTTGTGTGATAAATGCATTGATTTATACATTCAATGAATACGCAATCGGTTGTCTGTCCGGTTCTCTTTTTCATTCTTTATCAATTTTGCTGTTCGTTTGTTGAGAGGGGTATTTGAGGGTTGCCAACTACATTGATTGTCTGTCATGTCATCGTGACGAGTGAGAAAAATCAACAGAAATAATTGTGTTTGACCGTTATCTTTTTCTCGATTTGCATTTCAATTGAGATTGTTCGTTATTACTGATAAGTACCATCTTGTTTAATCAGCGGCGTCCTTTGAACATTCGAAAAACTGAAGAAAGTTCTTGACGATTCTGGAAGAAGTCTGATTTGTGTTAATTTTTTTTTTTGTTCCCGTACTGGTAAAACTTCAAATTCATTGGAGTTTAAAGGTTGAGTTAAAATTTGAAATTTAAGGCTTCAAAAAATTTAATAAGGGAAAATCTACGGAAATATGGACAAATTCAGCCAAATAAGATACTCAAAATGATTTACCATCTATCATGGTTATATTCAACTAGAAGACTACATACCCTGACTTACTTTGATTTGGTTCTGGATAGAATAAAAAGGAATTTAATATTCCTAAACTCTTTATTATTTTATTTCACAATTCCAAAGTCCGAAGACCACATTTAAGAAATTGACAATCGACAGGCTATACTTAAAACATCTGTGCTTAATAGTGAAATTCTAAGTTCAAAATATCAAATTTTTAGAAAAGATCGGATAAAAAAGGGATGGTCATTTAACTGATATAGAATTTCTCGGCACATACATTGAATTGGGTAAATTTAAATTATTCGTCACTTGCTCATACATTCCTCCCTCATCACAGCTTGATATTTATAATCAGCATATATTAGCAATACAATCCATAATTAATAATATGAATGATTCGGATCGAATATTAGTTTTTGGCGATATGCCATCTGTAAAGTGGCTTTCATTGCCAGAGTCAGAAGCTCTTACTCCATTGACATCTGATATACATTTAAATCAATTTATTTCTGAAATTATTAGTCGATTTTGTGACATTAATTTCCAACAAATAAATAATATAGTAAATAACTATGAGAAAATCCTTAATCCAATCTTCGTAAATCATACACCATATTTTGAATTAGTTAGAATACCTCCTATTTGTATTCCTGAAGATAACTATCACCCAACCCTATGTATAACCATGATACATGATTATTTAATTTCTGGCAATTCATCAAACTCATTAAAAACTACGTTTAACAATAAAAAAACGAACTTTTGCAAAATCAAATCACTTATCTCATCTGTAAATTGGACCTCTATATGCCTTTGTAAGAATCCTATTGATCTCGAGTTTACAATAGATAAATTTTATGTTACTCTAAAGAAATTTATTTCTGAATGTGTTCCTACTTTTTGCTTGAGCGTAGAACAAATAAAATCCAATATTATTGTACTTTTAAATGAATAGTAAAACTTAATAACAAACTGGCTGTTGATGTAGATTCTGTAGCTGGTTTTTCTATTCCACTCCCATCATGATACGGATCATGGTGTGTACGCGATCCCTACGTAAGGGGAGGTCGGCCCCTCGGTCAGCAGGGGTGGGAATAAGAGGCGTGGGAACGTCGAAAAAAAGAACAATAAAACAAAATGTAATTAATTCTCTATTTGCTTGGCTTGATGCTCAGTACAAAAAAACAACTCAACATTTACTTATCACAAATTTCTAAAAGGATAAAAAGTGAAAGTAGAGTGAAAAAATAACATAAAACTATGCTAGCAGTCTAAATAACTACTCGGTTTGCCAAGCAGAAATAGCTCATCAACAGGCATTGCAAAAAAAAAAAAAACATAAGTTACAAACTTAGCATCAAACCCAGCACTAAAAAATATAATAACTTAAAATAAATTTAAAATTTCTATGAGTACTGGCTAATGTTTTTTATGTACGCAAAAAATTGGTAGATATTCTATTCGCGGAGGCCTTCCGATTTTTGGGGTACGAGTGCATATAAAGTTGTTTTTCTTATAAAAACAAAAATATCGGGAGTCTTATGAGCAGATTGTGTAATGATAAGAAATCTATACCTGGGAGGAAATATATATTAAATAGAAGCCTTTTTCTATCCCCTAATTTGTTCAACATGTATCTTGCGAAACTGCCCGCTACTCCACCAGATGTTTCAGTAGTGTCGTACGCGTATAATTGAGTTTCGCTTCATTGCTATTATGACAGTGCATAAACAAACTGTCCTTATGAATTATTTATTTTTTTTTTCGAATTTTCTAGGATGAATCATCTCCAGTTGTTGTAACTGGTGAAGTTAGCGGCTTGGCCAAGGGTTTGCATGGCTTCCATGTTCATGAATTCGGTGACAATACCAATGGCTGTACATCTGCTGGTCCCCATTTCAATCCTAAAGGCAAAGAACATGGTGCTCCCTCTGACGAAAACCGTCACGTTGGTGATTTGGGCAATATTGAAGCCAGCGGTGATGGTCCCACCAAGGTAATGTTAATAATAATATAGTAATGATTTCTATGAAATGCTAATATATTATATTGTATTCATTTTTATAGGTAAACATCACTGATTCTCAAATCAGTTTGTTTGGAGCTAATAGCATTTTGGGACGTACCATTGTCGTTCATGCCGATCCCGATGATTTGGGCAAAGGTGGCCATGAATTGAGCAAATCAACTGGCAATGCTGGCGCTCGTATTGGCTGTGGTGTTATTGGAATTGCTAAAATCTAAATTTATTCACTCCATGCTCAATGGCTTTAATTCATTTCCATACCTATGGTAAAATCCACTATTTTTTATTGTGTTTTAATTTACATACCTTGAATCCGCATATAGAAGAGCAACTTTATAATTAAATTATATACAGCTCCTAAGGTCCCCTTTATATATAGCTGAAAGTTATATATATACATGTCAGCGCAAATACAAACAAATTTGCAATTCAAATGAATTCTTTGAATAAAGATACATATTGGTAAAAAGTAAACAAAATATTTATTTTATTTAGCAACAATTAGGAAAGGTAAAATAATGGGTAAAAATGGATTAATTGCAAAAATAAAAATTTTTTTGAACAGTAAATTATATAGGGAATGCGGTTTTTCGGTTAAAAAAATATATTTCACGTATGGACAGATTATAACACCGCTTACGTGAGATGGACCCTTAATATGAAATAAGCCATAACTGTAAGAAAAATGAAAGAAAACTAAATGTTGATAGGTAGATGGCGGTCCAGATGTTTTTATGATCGCATAGAATTTGTGCAATGATCATACATATTTAAAGGGCGATTTTTAAGAGTTATAGAAAAGTTAAACCATAACATTCACGAAATCTTTATTTGAATCGATAGTAATGTCCACACAATTTTATAATTTCACACAAATGTTGATAGCGACAGCGTCTCAAGTAGTCCATCAGCTTTAACCAGGTTAAAGCTGGATCTTCGGCCAAAAATCAAAAATTCAGAAAAGAACAATTTTCTATTCACAGATTTAATTATTCTCTATATTCATTTTTAAAAAAATCCAAAATCATTCAGATGACAGTATTTGTACAATTCGATTACGAAGCGATTAAAATAATTTGGACTGTATATACAAATTAGTACTGTACACACGATTGTTTCTATATTAAAAATCTCATAACATTACCATCAATTTTATTTTTTTAGATTTTTCTTTTGATATTTAATATAAGCTCTAAACATTTTGTTAGGCCACAAAGAGTTGAATTAAAAGAACTGTTCGCGTAGAAAGTTCTGTTCAACAAACTAAATCCAAATTATACTAGAAATAGTTCCCGTCGTTCATTTTACCGTAACCATAATATGATCAGCTGATTTTTGTTTCTTCCATTTCTCTTTGTTGTTTCGCCATTATGCATCACAGTCATTCGTAAACAATCGGTTGTTCTCGGCCATTTTGTTTCGTCTTCATTATTTATCAGTCATTCTCTCGTCGCAGTATTTGGGACGTTTTTTTATTCGTTCGGTTCGGTTAGAGAAAGATTTTCGGAAAGTGGAAGATTTTCTTGAAATCAAGAAAATAATTTTAAAATAACACGAATAAAAATCACATTAAAATAGGCATTTGAGGTTCCAATCCTCGCATAATGCTTTTGCTACAAGAAAAACGGCCCCTAAAGCGGGCACTGGGGCCACCAGATGTATACCCACAAGATGCCCGACAACGCGAAGATGAATTGACACCATCCAATGTTAAACATGGATTCGCAACTATGCCACCACTTTCGGATGAATTTGGCACAGCCCATACGTCGAATGTCAATGCCAGTAAGGTGGCCTCCTTTTTCAATGCCATCTTGGCTAAAAAGGAGGAGTTGATGACCCTGCAAGATACGGTGCGTAAGAAGCAGCAAGTCAATATCAAGGAGAATTTTTGGCCGGTGTCACCGCGCACAAAAACTGCATTGGATGCATGGTTTAAGGATTTGGCTGGCAACAAACCATTGCTGAGTTTGGCCAAGAAGGCACCGTCGTTCAATAAGAAGGAAGAGATTCTAATTACACTGTGCGATCATCAGGTGAATATGCAGAGAGCTACATGGTACATTAAACTGAGTGCCGCCTATACGGCAAGTGTCTCTGAATCGAAAAATAAAAAGCGAAATTTAGTTGATCCCGTCGCAGAATGGACGGGTATAATGATCAAGTTTATGAAAGATTTGCTACCCAAACTACAGGAGTACTATCACTTGAGTGAGAAGTGTAAGTATCTATACTCAATTTTTAATAGGTACCCACCAGAAGATAACGAACATTGTTTTTACTTTAGGTACCCCCTCGGAAAGAGCATTAATGAGTGGCTATGGTGCTCCCACTACCCATGCCAATAGTAATGGACAACAAACGGCAAATTCAAATGTCCACACACCCAACTCAATGACTGCGGCTGTACATTCAATGGCATGTCCTGTGCCTATGCTAAGTCCAGCCAATAACCAATCGTCCACTGGAACATCGATGGGACCAATGAGTAATAACAGTTCTTCCATGGTTGGCTGTTCAAGCAATCCTAGCGTCATGTCCGGTAGCAATAATATGCCAGCTTCAGGTTCCACCATATCGGGCAGTGGTAGCAATTTTGAAGATAGCCGTAATGCCTTGAAATATTGGAATTATTGTGCCCAGCTGGCCAAATATATGCACGAGGAACAGCTGTTGGATAGACAAGATTTCCTAAATTGGATATTAGAACTTTTGGATAAGATGCGTACTCAGTCTAGTTTTGATGAATCTCTCAAGAAACTCATTTTAACATTTGCCCTGCAGTACATGCACGACTTTGTCCAATCCGAGAGATTGTGTCGTAAAATGGCCTATATTGTTGCCAAAAAGCTAACGAATTTGTTAAATGGTGTTATAGATCAGCAGCAGAATCACCAACAACCAAAACCATTACTGGCATTGCAAGGTGTAACACCAATGGAGGTGGATGATATTGATGAGGGTGATAACAAGAATAAGAAGACACCATTAGACCCATATGAGGTGGCCTTAAATGAATATCTGACATGCCCACATCATCGTGACATAGTTTTGTGTTTGAGTAGCATTTTACAAATCGTCACAATCGAGTGTCCAGCGGCAATGGTCTGGTGTGGCATAGGAGAAAATCGTGCACCTGCCTCTTTGTGTGGTAGCCCCCTGGATCATTTGCCGTTGGCACCATCTTCCCTGCCAATGCCATCGAAATGCCCCTTGACCAACAATGAAGTACGTCGACAATTACGTGCAATAGAATCGGAAATAATTTTACGTTCCAAACATGCCGAGAATCGTTGGTTTGCTGAAAAATGGCAAAATGCTAATAAGAATTCGTATACCCATGTTCTGACGATTCTCGATTATTTGGATACGCACTGTTTTGATTTGATGGATCAAAATAATTCCATCGACACACTGTATGCAAATATATTTCAACCATTTGTAAGTGTGCGACGTGAGGTGGGCGCAAATGGTGAAATGAAAGAGATACGCCAAGAGTATGATGCCCAAACCGTGGATGGGAATACTGTGAAGATTTTATGTGAATGGGCGGTATCGAGTCAGAGGTAAGTGTGAAAAACAAATCATTAGAATGGCTAACATGAATATTAAGTTTGGTAACAAAGGACAACACACAGTTACACTTACAGTTACTTCGAAAATAAACAAAAATCTAATTGTTTACCTTTATTACAGATGGGGTGAACATCGCGCCATTGTAGTGGCCATTTTATTGGACAAACGTCAAATTGAAGTTACAACACCCTCGCCGGAAGATGTTAACAATGGCCAGGGTAATGGCACCAATCCCAACGATGACAAAGACTCGATTGCTTCTGGCGCCGGTTTAATTGGCGGCTTGCCGGTATTTCAATCAGTTCTGATGAATTTCCTAGATCACGATGCCCCGGTACTCGATGAAAATGGCAGCACCGCAAATCGTACACAATTCACAAATTTGGTACATTTGTTTAGTGCCCTTATACGTCACGACGTGTTTTCCCACAATGCCTATATGTACACCCTAATATCTCGCGGTGATCTTTTGGAAGGTGCAAATGGCATGGGTAGCAATAATCTCAGTAATAAGGTGACGAATAGTGTTTCTGGCCCGGTTTCCAATAAACCTGCAACTCCACCGCCTGCTAACCAGGGCTTCGATGATGATTTTACAAGTGGTTTGGATTTCAAACACAATGAATATGATGATTCCAATGTCGATGATGATTTGGAAAAAATATTGCAAAACATTAAAGAAAAGGGTCAGGTGCAGGCTCCAGACAGCCCCAAAATTCCCGAGCACAATAGCAGCAACAGTGGTGGTAATTCAATTTCGCGCCATTACATCTATACTAAACATTTTCCCATACCTCAAGACGACCCCTCAATGTCCTACAGTAGTGAGTCGAATCAGAGGTATATTCTACTGTTTGGCGTGGGCAAGGAACGCGACGAGAAGAAACATGCGGTCAAGAAAATGTCCAAGGAAATTTGTAAATTATTTACTAAAAAATTTAGTATTGATGTAGCCGAGGGCGGAAAGGTAAAGAAACATTCGCGCAATGAATTTAATTTTGAAGCAACAACCAGCAAATGCCAGAATATGGCCTACTTTGATCAACATGTGGTGACATCGCAGTGTGCTGCCACCGTTTTGGAACAATTGAATGGCTTTGCTGTGGGAAGCAACAACTACTTACCGGTACAGGAGCATGTTGCCTTCCTATTCGATTTGATGGAAATGGCTTTGAACATTCACAGTCTTTTGGAGCTTTGCGATCAGATTCTAAAGGAGCTACCCGAAGTGGAAAATCAATTGCAGGCAAAAAAATCAAATATGATACGCAGCTATACAACCTCATTGGGTTTGTATATTGTTGGCATATTGAGACGTTATCACAGCTGTTTGCTGTTGTCACCCGAACAAACAATCTCGGTGTT